GATACGTTAGATCGCCTATTATCTGGCCGGACCACATCGTATCCCACATTGTCTTATTTTTTTCCAAAATCGAACAAGTATTCACATTTTGCGATTTTACTGATAGGCTACCGCGATGTCTTTTTATGAGTTTTCAAGGAAGAACACATTTTCCAACGACGAAATAACTTTCAGGTGGATCCTACCGCGCTAATACTCATCTTCTGTCTGATCTTTTGCCGCAAACCCTTTCGTAGGGGCACTGAATTACCGGCAGGCCTATGCCCACAGTTACTTTAATGAGTCCGGAGGTAAAAAGGTGATAGGTAACGTAAGAAAGAAAAATATGTTGACGTTCTGGTTCCTTTCGGCTGCTTTAGTCAACTGTTTATTCGATCCACATTTAGAAGAATATAAGCAGCTCTTATGTATAGCACAAAGTTACTTCGTCTGGTAGGGTCAGCATTCCGCTTAACTTGGCCAGTGACTGTCGAAGGTAAACTGTCAGACAGTCGGGGTGGGGGACTAGTCTGCACTTTCAACAGAAGAAACTGTTCTGTGGACCGAAACTTCTGTAAAGTGGCTTTCACGGGCAATGTGCGTTCCCACATCACGCTAAGGGGTCAACTGTGAGACCTAGACGCAGCCATAATCGCAACCAAAGAGACTGTTAAAGTAGTGATGGGAATGCTAACAGTACGTTGGCTATGATGAATAATGTGGGCTTATTTAATTGGTTCCCAATATGTAACGTAACTTAGTCGTGTCAGAACTTCTTGCTCTGTCGGAGTCTACTTACCAGTAATACAATATACATAAAATTCACCCTTCTCTCTCCATACAGTCTGCCTCAGACTGCTAATTCGGGCTTTTTTGCTCTGCCTCTTGATGAGTTTGCAGATAGTTGGAACCCACCTATATGTCAGTTTCGCCGGCTGGCTTGCAACGTGGTATCCGTTTCCCTTGGACTGTCAGGAGATCGGAGGGCGCTGAAGGAGCCAGAACAGAGGATACTTCTTCTTCCCGTCCCTCCACACATGCTGACATGGCAGTCACCAGTGGTATTAGCCAAGACATCGCTTCTTGTCCGCCGGCACAGCCCGCCGCAACAGAGCTGGAGGAGGTAGTGGCGGAGGAGGAAGTAATGATGATTCCGGACAGGTTGGTGCCTTCAACCACCTCCGCGGAGGACCAAACTCCTGAACCTCCCTCCAACGAAGATCTAGATGAACTGACAAATTCTCTTCTTGCCATGCAACAGGTTAGACCCAAATCATCTTCCCTTACCCAGACTCATAAGCCATGGTGAGCCCGAAAATATAGCTTTGTGTCAGGTGTGGGTTGGATCCATGCTCAAGAGACAATCGATTAAACGGAGGCAACATTTACCAATTTAGCACGGTTGCTTGGCTGAAAATGGCCTTTCCAGCTCACTTTGGACCTCCGGTCTGGAACATTTGCAGAAGGTTATATGAAGACTAACAGTCCCCTAGACTGAGGCTTAACTAGTGAGGCATTGAACTTAATGAAATCGAGTCCAAATTCAAATCTCAGAACTTCCCGGCCTGTAGTTGTAATAGAATTGCTGGCGACGAAAAGTAAGTGAGGCAGGGGTTTCCTTGGTAGCGCACGAATGTTATTATTTATATCACTATCCCACCCTAACCCTAACAGAAATTCATTGAGTAGGCATGTAAATATAAATAAGAACATTCGTGCGCTACCAAGGAAACCCCTGCCGTAAGTGACAAGTCGTCAATCCAACCTTAGCCATACCTATCCGTAAGAGGCCACACTTGTGGACCAACAAGAGGTGATACCCAAAGAACTCGGAGACTCGTGTACTAGGAGAGTATTTTTTCTGTCTTGGTCAACTGAATTCAAGTTGACCTCTCGTTGATACCTCTATCGTACGAGTAGGTGGATGTAATATGAGGATTTAATATCGTCTCTATGCAAATATTTACGGTTGCCCTAATCGTACAACTATCATGATCATAATTATGGCAAATTTAAACGACTGACGTCTAGTCTTCTCTCCTTATTGTAGGACAACATACGAATAATTCCGTTATACCCTGGGGTTCCGGCTTATAGCCATCTGTAGGCTGTTGTGCAGAAACGGTAAAAAACCTTCCAGCCTCTTTTTTCGTTTTTGGCGGCACCTGCGCGTGAATTTAAATATTCCCGGTTGCTCCCGACAGGGTGAGACTATCGCAGGTGGTTGAGTTAGTAAGGTAAAACTCTTGCCACTACAATCTTCAGACCCACTTCCTTGTGGGAAAGAGAAGAAGTGGGAGGTCAGAGTTTAAGTAATAGTTTATTCTTGCTTTCATCATCCCCGGAAACGGAAAAAGAAGGTTGAGCAATTCCTGAGACCAAGTTATATTTAGGCTGAATTTTCGA